AGCAAAGAAGGGTGGCAAACTAATTTCTACTTGGGAAGGTTTATTTTTCTTATAAGTTCGTTAGTTTCTTCATCAATAAAATGGAAACAATATCTGCTCTATTTATTTCAAATCTGTTATATGAGGATCAACTGAGAACTTTGAACAGCTATTTAAAAACTAAAGCTACTGAACTTATTTATAATATTTATCTTTGTTTACTTCATTGGGCAGCATTAACTCTACCTTACAGTCACTGCCCAATCATTTTTATGTTAAACAAAATAAATACTCATCAGTGAATTTTGCATTTTGTAGTACAGGGTTCTAAATTTTAAAGAAAGAGAAATGAATAGAAAACAAATACAAGCATTGCAACAGAAAAAATATTGAAGAATGGCAAGGCTACAGTGCCCATCAGAATGGAAAGGCAAATACAAGAAGAAAAATCTATAATATAGGAAAAGGTTCAAGCCCATACTTGAAATACTACCTTCTTAATACCCCACACGAGTTTAACTAAGTAAAACCAACTTGTAGAAGATCATTTTAAATTTTTTAAAATGTATTTATTTCAGATAAATATAAGACTAGGATACACCCTGACATAACCACAAAAGCATGGAACACCACTGGCCCCATTTCATTCATCAGTACCTCCCCCAATTCCCACTCCCAGCTCATCTCCCTCTATTGCACTAATCTTTCTTAAAACCATTTACAGTTTACTTTTTTGTTGTTTATTTAATCAGTGTCTTGTGGATATACTCAATGCCAGGACCCACCATTCGACATCTATGTATACACATACAACAATTTGGTCAGACTCATTCCACTGTTCTTCTGTTTTCCCACCCCTTCTTTGTCTTCCTCAATCCTTTCATCTACTCTAATGATCTTCCCTCTATTTTGATGAAATTTCCTCTCCCTTTTTTCCCATTTCTTTTTTATTCCCCTCCATTATTTTGGATTAACTTCTGCATATCACAGAAAATATTCAACCTTTGACTTTGGGAGACTGGAGTATTTCCCTTAGCATGACAGCCTATAGATCCATCCATTTACTGGCAAATGCCGTAAGGGCATTCCTTTTTATGGCTGAGAATACTCCATTGTGATTGTGTGTGTGTGTGTGTGTGTGTGTGTCACATTTTCCTTGACAATTCATCTGTTGAAGAGTACTTCAGTTTGTTTCATAGCTTGGCTGTTGTGAATTGTGCTGCTATAAACACTGATGTGGAACATCACTGTAGTATCCTCATTTTAAGTTTTTTGGATATATAGCAAGGAGTGGGATAACTGGGTCATATGGTGGTTCCATTCCTAGTTTTTTGAAGAATTTTCATACTGCTGTATTTTTTTTAATCCTTATAAGGGGCATATATCAAGAATGGCTTTTCCAGGTACAATGGCATATGCCTGTAATCCCAATTACTCAGGAGGATTCCAAGTTCAAGGCCAGCCTTGAAAATACAGCAAGACTCAAAATAAATAATAAAAAGGGCTAGGGATCTAGCTCAGTCACAAAGAACCCCTGGATTCAATAGCACTGCCAAATAATACTAATAATTAATAGTAATAATAATAATAATAAATTTTTAAAATTAAAAAATAGGCCTTAAAATATTAGGAAATTAGTTATTTTACTATACATTTTCAGTTAAAGGTAACATTTGTATTTCTGGGTAGTAAACTATAAATAAATTAAGAGACTAAATATCTTGCTGACCTTGCACTAATGGAGTAAAAAAAAAGTAACCAAAAAAATAAATAACCATTAATTTAATCTTCCTTGGAAATCCTAAGATATTGATAGAATCAAAAATATGTCTATTATTTCAAGGCAAAAAAAAATTGGTACCAGGGATTTAACCCAGTGGCGCTTATCCACTGAGCCACATTCCCAACTCTTTTATAACTTATTTTGAGACAGGGTCTCGCTAACTTGCTTAGTGCCTTGCTAAGTTGCTGAGGCTGGCTTGAATTCGTGATCCTCTTGTCTCAGCCTCCCAAGACACTGGGATTACAGGCATGTGCCCAGATCCATAAAGCTTTAAATGTAAATATAAATGGATCATAAATTATCAAATGTAGGAGACAGATATACTTATTGTGAAAAAATATAAGAAATTAACTCATATCAGCCATCTTATATTAAAAGAGATGAATGGTAACATACTTTTTCTAAACTTGATATTGTTAGGAGACTAGGTGGTAAAATTTTATATCAGATATCTTTTATCTGTGACCTGTTACTTCTTTCCCAATGTGAAGGTTGTTTTGAAAAATAGAAAATGGCTCATGATAGAGATATATGGAAATTATAATTGGCATATATTTCAGCTTTGCTGATCATATGTTAAATATATATGGAGCCCAGGAAACATCTGATTTAATTTTACTTGTTTTAACTGAAAAAAAAATGACCAAATGACTATGAAAGTCTACAGTAACACAAGTTGAAATGGAGTAGATTAGTTGTCTAAATCAGTCAATCAGAAAACAGCATCAAGTCACACAGATAAAACAAAATTCAACTAGTGTATCTACTTATTTTTCAATGCTGGGGATTGAATCCAGGACCTCATGCATGCAATGCCCCTTCTCTATCACCAAGCTACATTACCAGTTCCTAATGTTCAAATCAAAGATCACTGTTTAAACAATGTGTAACACAGAGCAGTTTTTACAATCCTATACTATTTTACAACAAGAACAAAAAAAAGCCAACAAAAACAAACAGTTATGAGCATCACATTGGAATAAGCAATGACAACCAAAAAATCTTATAAATGAAAACAATTTTTAAAGGGATAAATTTATTCTGAGTCTGGTGATGCACACCTATAATCCCGGTGGCTAGGGACTGAGATAGGAGGATCACCAGGTTCAAAGCCAGCCTCAGCAACTTAGCAAGACCCTGTCTCAAAAAATAAAAATAAAAAAGAGCTTGGATGGTGGAAGGAGACCCTCATCATTATAGAAAATACATGTATGAAGATGTGAAAAAAAAGAGCTTGGAATGTGGCTCAGTGGTTAAGTGTGCATGGGTTCTATTTCTGGTACCAAAAAAGAAAAAAAAAGGATAAATTTAAATGGTTAGTGTTTTTCACTCATATAGTTTTACTGATAAAAACTGTAACACAAAACCATCACACACCAAAAGTATTTCTTTTTAAGTCCAGCCATGAATTAATCAAATTTCTGAAAGTGTTTCTAATTCTATTCTCTAAAACTTTGAAATCTACCTTCTAGCTATTTAAATTTATGGCATGCAATAAATCATATTAGCATCTAACAATATATATTTTTACTATCTTTTCAATAAAATGTATACTTCTTAATTTTAAGAGAAAATTAGAAAAGTGAATATATGAGTCATGCTACATTAATGGTTATGAATTTATTTTGACTTCCCATATAAAGATATATACATGTATACATACACAAAGTGCATGCACAAGCACACATATGCACACATACACACACACACACACACACTTTTTATCCTCCTGTGGTGTAGCGCTAGTTGTTTCCTCATTAATTTATTAATGCTAAAATATAATAAGGCGCTCTTTTCTTTTTTAAATATTTTTAGTTGCAGACAGACAAAATACCTTTCTTTATTTAGTTTTTCTATGTGGTACTGGGGATCAAACCCAGTGCCTCATGTGTGCTAGGCAAGCACTCCACTGCTGAGCCACAACTCTAGCCCCTAAATTAGTCTTTTCTAGTGCTTTTTGTAGCTTTTTAAACTCCTTTTATAAAGTAGCAACATAAATATTTCTATGCCTCATAGCCCATATGATCTGTATATAAATATTTAGATGATTTTGCTAAGAGTTAATATTTGATTATACTAAAAATTAAAATGTTATTAAGTAAAATGCAAAAGCTAAAATGACAACATTATACTGCTTGTCAATTGAAAGTGTTTCATGATCAGAGTTTACAGAGATAGTTACATATAATATTTCAAAGGAGAGTGTTGAACAAACCCAACTGCTGGCTTCTATGTTAGATAAATTAACTTAAAGACACATTTTACAAGGGAAAAAGAAATAAAAGTTAATTTTATACACAACTAAATGAGAAAACAGTGGTATTCCCCTTACTTCTTGGGGTGTACACAACATATAGCTAAACTAAGAGGAAGCACACTGTATCATACGTCTTGATTCTATTACTTACTAATTTTATCCTGTAGTATAAATCACAATCTCTCCAAATATCAATATACTAATCTATGCAATGAAAATATTACAAAATACTATTTTCAAGGCTCATTCCAACTTAAAAAATCTATAACTATGTGAAAATATCTACAGAAATGACAACCATAAAAATTACAGCATAAATGGAAATGCCTACATTAGTCAGAATTAATTAGCTAGTCTTTAAAATAGTTAGTAACTTCTGAAATAATTTAAATTTAATTCTCTCTGACATCCAGAAAATGAATTTTAAATTACTTCAGACTATTCTTAGAGTTCAATATTTCCAAATAAGAGCTCTTTTCTACCCTGATATTAAAGATAATCTTATTCAGTTTATTTCAGATGATTCTATATTTAGTAATACAGTTACTTATGTACTGTCAATTAAATCTTTCACCTATTACACTTAAAATGGGACCTTATGGCATGTAACTTTTTTTCAAAAAAGTTGTTTATTAAAAACATTTCAGTCACAAAAATTTCTGATGGAAAAAGCTGTCTTATACTTTAACTGCAGTTGATTATTAATAATTGCATTTACTTATTAAAAACTTACCTGAGGGCTGGGGTTGTGGTTCAGTGGTAGAGTGCTTGCCCAGCCTGTGTGAGGTGCTGGGTTCGATCCTCAGCACCACATAAAAATAATAAAATAAAAGTTTTGTGTCCAACTATAACTAAAATAAATATATTAAAAAACTTACCTGATTAACTATCATTAACTTATAGGACCCTTTTTTCCTTTCCCATTATTCTCTTTCTTTATATGCTAAAAATATTGCTTAAAAAATCAACATGATTACTTACAAGGCAAGAATCTGCTTCTCCCTCGTCCATTGGCTCATCAACCATTTTAAGACCATTTACCTGAAAAACATCATTCAAAAATTGATAGTCAGGAATATTAAACCAAGAGTAATAACTAAGAGATATATAACCCTAGGCATTTCCCTTCACAATCTACTAAGGCCCGCACTTACTGAAAAACAGGAGGACAAAGGACACATAGGAGGTACTTAGAAAAGAAAAACTACTAATATGGTTCCCAGATTGACCTTAAGAATCCTTGATTTTTCAGAGCTTTATGTTTCATTTCATATTGTTTAGGACTTTGCTAGGACATATGATCATACACTAAGTACATTAATCATGTATTTTCATTAAGATTGTCCTAAAGAAAATGTCTATGACATAAAAAAAGTGTCACAGAAGAAATCTAGCTTGGATATGTTCAAGAAAATTAGAATGGAAATAATTTTACATTATTAAACGGTTATAAATTCCACTCCATCATATGAGTTCTATTTAAACACATAAACTACTACACAGAAGAAAGAATATACTACAGAAAATAGACATAAATGGCCATGAAAAGAAATTATTTCAACATACACATCTCAGTATATAATTAAACATATTCTTCAATCACTAATTAAGGGAAAAGTAAATATAAACAACTTAGATAAAGGGTCTACAAACTACGATCCATAGGCCAAATCTGGCCTGCTGTCTGTTTCTGTATAAAATGTTCCTGGAGCACAGCCACACCCAATTGTTTCTAAACAGCAAAACTGAACAGTTGTGACTGAGATCCTATGCCTGCAAGGCCTAGGATTATTATTTGGCCATTTATGAAAAAAATCTGCCAATCACAGACATAAGATGTTTGAAACAGCAAAATGGTCTGGGGAAAAAAGGAATTTTATCATTGTCCACTTCAAAGAGTCCAATAAAAAGTAGAAAAAAATGAAGTAAATTAAACAGAGCTACTGGTGAGAGTCAAATGGAATAAGCCCACAACACCTATCTCTCCCCTGATTATACCTAAAACCCTAGGCATAAAACAAAAGGAAACTACCTAAGAACTCTACAAACTAAGCAATAGAATTGGAAAAAAAGATCAAAATTTGAAAAATAACTGATGAGTTCCCTGACTTTATTTTTCACCTTTATCCCCCTGAAATTGACCCAAGGACAGGCTAAGCCATGGATCTCTACTGTACATGAACAACATTTCCCAGAGAAAGACTACTTTGTAGACACAGAACCAGGGGGAAAAAATGCACTTCTGAGGTGTTGAACATAAGGAGAAGCTAAGAATTTCCCATGACAGTCTTCTTTTCAACTCCCATTCCTAATCTAAGGTAAACTCCATTAAAAAGAGAACCTGTCTCTCTGAGGAGAGGAAACAGGAAAAGAGGATTCTATAATAGGAAAGGCATGGAAGTAATCCCTGTTAGTTTTTTCACTATCTTCTTCACTTCATTCCAAGGGCAGAAAGACTAAGACTTTGAGACAAACTCATATTGCTTGCCAGAAGAACAGCATCAGGGCCTCTGAGAAACAAATAATTTGGAAGAAATAATGGGAAAAACAGAATGACAGAAAGATATCTCCTAATTATTTGTATGAATTAATACATGTGAGGTTCAACAACAAAATGCATGTGCAGCAAATAGAACCAAAGAATACAAAAAAAAAAAAAAAGATTTGAAAACTGACCTGCACTATAAGCCATTGCTCAAGTTTTAGACCAACAAGTGAATTAGGAAGTGCACTCAGTAGCAAATGCACAATAATACCCAAATGCTCTGAAAACTAACTTAACATTGTAACAATTATCCAAAGAGGGGAGGACAGAACTTAGGAGTATGAACCCAACAAGGTAATTTTCTTTATGAAAGAAACAAACACTAATGGATCAATTCCAAGATGCCTCTCATAGTCAAATATCTGTCAAGGATTTTAGAACAGCTGTATCAACTAAGATTTTTTTTTAATAAAACAAAACATATCTGAATGTAATGAAAAATACTTCTCAGCAGATACATAGAAAGTAAATAAGAATCAATGTAAGTAATTCCAGATCCCAAAATCATAATATATGAAACAAAAAAAAAAATACTGGATATAATCAATAAAAGAATGCAGATAGAAGTGGATACAGTAAAGTTGAAGATAGGTAAACAGAAACAATCCAATATGAACACAGTGAAAATGATCAAACAAGCTACTATGCAATCCAGAAATACCACACTGGGTATATACTCAAAGGAAATAAAAATAAAATGTCAAATAATACCCACCTGCACCTGTACTCCCTTGTTTACTGCAACACTATTTACAATACACAGGATGTTGAATCAACCTAAATGTTCATTAACAGGTGAATAGATAAAGAAAATGCAGTATTTATACACAATAGAATACTATTCAGCCATAACAATCATAAAATTCTGTCAACTGCAACAACACAGATGATGCTGAAGAACACTGCACAATCTCATTTATATACAGAATATAAATCTAAAAAGATAATCTCATAAAAATTCAAAGCAAAATAGTGGTTACCCAAGACTGAGGGAAATAGTGGGAAGGGGTTTGGGGATAGATCCGTTACAGGTACAATGTTATTGTCAGCAATGTGAATATAACATACATTTTTTTCATTCTCTGTCCCAAAATAATTAGAATTTGAAAGAACTCACCATAAGGTAATGATAAAAATTTAAGGTATTGGATACGCTCATTACTTAATTGATCACTAATCAAGATAGCACATGAATACATACATGCATAAAAAATAAATTAACAGAGCCTCAGACACATGGAACAATATTAAATGGTCTAGATCCATGTCATTAGTATCCCATTAAAAATAGAATCATACTAAAAAAATTACTTAAAGAAAGATGTTCCTATTCCTATGAAATGCTGAGAATAGGGAAATCTATAGAGATAGAAAACAGAGGTTGTTCAAGGCTGATACATGTGGAGATGAAGGTAATAAAAAAATAGTACAATGGTCCTTTTGGATGTGATGAAAAATTTGATGATTGCAAACATTTGTTAATATAATAAATATATCAGATTATATATTAAATGGGTGAATTATATGATATATGAATTGCATCACAATAAAGCTCTTTTAAAAAAGCATTAATAACTGAAAATGTACTAAATTTATAGATTTAAGATCAAAGAACCCCAAACAGGACAAAGTTATAGAAAACCACCCAAAGACATATCTTTTCTTTTAAATATTTATTTTTTAGTTGTAGTAGACACAATACCTTTATTTATTTATTTTTATGTGGTGTTGAGGATCGAACCCAGGGCCTCGCACATTCTAGGCGAGCACTCTATTGCTGAGCCAGTCTCAGCCCCAAAGATATATCTTAATTAAGCTACTCTAAACCAAAAGAAAAATGGGAGAAAAAATATTGAAATGAGAGAAAAGTTTTAAATAAAGGGAACATCAAATTGACTGGCTGCAGATTCCTCAATGAAAAATCATGGAGGTCAGAAAACAGCTGAAGAACATTCACCTGAGAAAAATGGAAATGCATGTTAACAAATAAATCTGTATATGAATGATTAAAGCAGTTTTATACATAACTGTCATATATTGGAAAGAGTCCATGTGTCTTTGATCTGGTAAACTGATATTAATCATCAATAAAAATGAGAAAACTACTGATACCTGAGAATATATAGATGGATGTTAAAAACGTTTTGCTAACTCAAAGAAGTCAAACCCAAGTGCTAAATATTGGATGACAAGACACTGAAAAAGGCAAACTACAGGGAAAGAATTTATATCATTAGTTTCCAGGGGTTGGGAGTTGAATAAGGCAACTCACTACTAAGCAGTAAAAAGGAATGATTTATTGATACACTCAACAACATGGGTGAACCACCAAATAGATCATTGTAAGTAAAAGATGCAAGATAAAAAATGCTATATAAGGTGATTCTATTTATAGCATTCTGAAAAAGGCAAAACTATAAAGAATGGAATAGATTAATGGTTGCCAGGGGTTAGGGCATACTACAAAGAGGCACCTTAACGGGCATCGGGTGGTGTGCCAAGGGGGTGAAGGAACTACTCTGATCTTGATTGTGGTGGTAGTTACACAAAGTTATTTATATAACTACATTTGTCTATCCTCAAACCACACATGAAAAGGAGCAAATTTGAGTATATGAAATTTTTAAATCAACATATTTTAAGGCAATTTACACAATTTAATGAATATCATCTAATTAAAACCAAGTAAAGCAACTAATGATGTCTATTTTTCTAATTTTTAATTGATTTTATTTTTAAATACATGACAGCGGAATGCATTACAATTCTTACTACCCATATAGAGCACAATTTTTCATATCTGTTTGTATATATAGTATGTTCACACCAATTCATGTCTTCATACATGTACTTTGAATAATGATGTCAATCACATTCCACCATCACTGCTAACCCTATGCCCCCTCCCTTTCCCTCACATCCTCAGCCCTCCCATGTTCCCCCTCCCTACCCTACTATGAGTCAGACTTCTTACATCAGAGAAAACATTCAGCATTTTTTTGGGGGGATTGACTAACTTCACTTATCTTTATCTTCTCCAACTCCATCTATTTACCTGCAAGTGCCATGATTTTATTCTCTTTTATTAATAAGTAATATTCCATTGTGTATATATGCCACATTTTCTTTATCCATTCATCCACTGAAGGGCATCCAAGTTGGTTCCACAGTTTAGCTATTGTGAATTGTGCTGCTATAAACATTGATGTGGCTATGTCCCTGTAGTATGCTGTTTTTAAGTCCTTTGGGTATAGACGAAGGAGAGGAATTGCTGGGTCAAATGGTAGCTCCATCAGTCCTTTTCTTATTTTAATCTCTGCAGCATATTACAGGTGACCAAACTCCTATTGGATTTTTTGGCTTCTTTGATATCACTATCTCATTTTCTATTTCTTTATTTTCTTTAATTGCTCTTTTTTCTATATCCTTGAAACATAATAACTCCTCAGGAAATGCAATCAATTTACTCATGAATCTCAGATTTACTCAGATACTACTCTTCTCAACTGCATACTTAATAGTTCCACTAGTTTATCTTACATATGTCTCAAAAATAACCAATACACAGAGGAATTAGTGTCCCCCTACAAATATGCTCTCCCTCTAGGGTTCACTATTTCTATAACTGATGCCACTATCTTACCATTTTACCTCAACAAAACTGTCAAAGTGGTGTGTGTGTGTGTGTGTGTGTAATTTTTTTCATGAGATAGATTTGTCATTAATATTGAGCATTCAGCAAAATAGTCCAAAAGTCAATAAGGCTGAATCCTGATAATTATACTTTTACAATAAAACAACACTAAGGATTATCTAAAGAAAAAGTGTTATGCATAGAATAAAGATGATCCATCAAAAAAGAAAAACACTGCTTTCCTCTGTTACCTAGTGGTTACTTCCTATTCACACCATCTTATGACTAATTTTTCATGAAGCTGTGGGTCTGAAGGCACTAGAAATAAAATAAATTTGAGTCAAGAAGATCTCTCTATCCTGGAAATCATCTCTTATCTCCACAAATTACCTTTACAACTCTACATTTTTTTTTCCATTTCATCTACCCTCAAGGTACCAGATTTTCAATATAAATTATTCATTCCTAAAGAGGACCAGAGTATTTACTGATCCTTACTAAAACTTAAATCATTTCTGCCCATGTGGAAACAAAAAAAAATATTTTTATAATTTTCGCTGGAACAATGAACTTTTATTTCAAAAATAAAATATGTAATTTTACAAGTAAAACAAACATGTTGTTTCCCCCAATGAAGTGTTAAATGGAGAAGAAATAATTTTCTATAGAAGAGTCTAGAAAACTGATCAGTAGTTATAAGTACAATAATATTTACACAAATACTACAAAACCCAAGTGAATAAACTCTCATGTCAAAGCCTAGTGAAGAATATTTTAAATTTGTTTTTGTTTTATCAGAAAAGAATTAAATAACAAATCTTCCAGGCAGAAATAAACTGAGTTGCTGTAATCATCTAACCTCAGAAAATCATGTGGGTCACTTCAAATCTATCATTTTCTTACTACTTATTGACAAACACAGGTCATCAGGGAAACCTAAACTGAGAAAGAAAAACAATTTTTCCCTTAAAATTTTTAGAATTGGAGGAGGTGTGGAAAGTGAAATATAAATACATATATTTTTGGAAAGGTTTTACTACTATCTGGCCATAATAGTATGATACAAACCTACCCATCAGTCTTACATACAAGAGTAAAGTAACAGAGCTCATAGCATGATGCTGAAAAATACAATGAAGTAGTAAAGAGATACACAAATAAGGAAAAACTAGGGGAAAAGTAGGAAGAAATATGGGTGATGGAATCTAACAATGTAATTAACAAAACCTAATAGTTTTCTCAACAAATTTGAGACTGTTATAAATTTAAAAGTAATCTCCAGGATCCTTAAAATGTACCAACTAAACAAAATCATTGTATTCATATAATACCTAATATTAAAAATGTTTAATACATTGGCATTATAAGGAAAAATTGTTTAATAAGCTTTATGTTGCCTGATAGCCTTTGTAATACTTTATAAAGAGTTCAACAATTTTTATTCACTTTACATAGCTAGAACAAATTGTATCTAAAACTTAGAGGTAGATTCGTATCTATGTCAGCATACTGAATTAAGCCTAGGACAAAACAGAAACCTCCACAGTTGATCAATGTGGCAGACACATTCTAAGATGGGTCCCCAGAATCTTCACCTCTTCATGTCCATGCCCTTGTATAATCTCCATCCTCTAGAGTATGAACAGAACCTGTGGATAGATTCCACACAAAATAATATGGCAAAGGTGTTGGGATGCCACTTACATGATTACATTATATCATAAAGGTCTCTAGAGACTTTCCTTTTTAACGATATTGAAGTAGTCATATGATATGGGACTCCAGCCAGCTCTCTACGAGCTGAGAGCAGCCTGCAGTCAATACCCAGCAAGAACCCAGAGCCTTCAGAGTCCTACAATCACAAGGAAAGGAATTGTGCCAAGAATCTGAAGGAGTTTAGAAGTAGATCCTTCCCCACGCAAGCCTCTATATAAGAATGTAGGAAAGCCAAAACCTTAATTACATGTTTGTGTGACTAAACAGAGGCCCTGGCTGAGTCACACCCAGATTCCTGACCCACAGAAATTGTTGATAATAAATGTGTTTTGTTTTAATCTTCTAAATTTGTGGTGAACTGTAAGGTAACAACAGATAATTAATACAATCAATATTATTGGACAAAATACTGGTGATTTAAAATTATCCCCCAAAACAGAGTTTTGGAAAAAAAATTATATGTTAATACTTTTAAAAATACATATTTATTAAGTTTATGTGCTTTTTCTCATTTTGTAGATATGAAACTGTCAATTACATGGTACTAAGTAACCTAGGAAAAATAGTAGAGTTAAATTTGTGTTAAAATATTTGACCAACAGGGCTACCTAATTAATTTTTGTTTTAATTAGTGAGATTGAGAAGTCACACATTTGCCCTTTAATTTTGCTTTCTGAGAAATCAATTACTAACTTAATAAGTACATTGTAAAGAACATTATTTCACACTCTTTTAATAATCAGGGATATTTCAGTATCTTATCTCTCTGAACATAAATTATCAAATGCACAGATTTGTTGTTATAAGAGGCAAAATATAGAATACAAAAAATTAACCCCACACATATCATGGAGTTTACTTTTTCAAATACATTCTAACAAAATGGAACCTCTGTATAGTATTGGTGATAATGTAAAATAGTATGGCTACCATGAGAAACAGTATAGGTATCCCTCAAAATAAGCAAATAATTAACATATTATATAGCAATTGCACTTTGGGCAAATATCCAAAAGAAATGAAAGCAGGATGTCAAAGAGGTACTTGTACAGCCATGTTCATCGCAGTATTATTTGCAATGGCCAAAAAGCTAGAATGTGCCTAAGCATTTACCGACTATCAAAAGATGAATAAACAAAATGTGGTACATTCATACAATGGAATATTATTC